TGACGCGCCATTTCTCGTTTTTGAACGATGGCATTTTCCCAGTCCTCTTTTTTTTGGGTCGTCAAGTGCGTTCCGTCGTATAGGCAATCCTAGCATACAATGTTAACGATCAGAATATATGCTTGTGCGGAGAATCGATTCTTTTTTAAGTAATTTCACTGCAGTGACACAAATAATCATGTGAATAACAAACAATATTGGTCAAGATATTCACGGTAAGCTGATTTAGATGTATGAACAGTAGAACGAGTTTTGCGTTATTTCTATTTTATATTAATATTACGTACATATAATTGAATTTAAAAACATGGTTCGATACTACAAGGAGAACTTTTTGGTCATTTTTATGTAGGAGAAACAGAGTGACGGGCCGGCCGCAGTTCTCAAGGCCACAGACAGAGAAGTATCATGTTCGTATTATCGCAAAGCCCGAGGGCTCGGCTCGGTGGCCTGGTCTATGCAGAACTCTGAGGAGAAAACGATCTGAATCTTTGTAGACCATTATTTGATTAAAAAACTATCAGTTTTCACTCGTAGAGGAGACAGAAAACATTGAGATTACATTTTTTCTGATTTACAAGTAGCCGTTATGTAAACCGTTACCAGGATTCTGTTATCTGTCGTCCTAGGAAATTGTACAGGCCACCTAGAAGATTACGTAGGACTGTAATCTTCCTACATCCGTGATCTATGGTACACGGAGGGTAGCTAGACGACTTCATCCCCCTTCTCACCCCTTCCATGATAAATCGTATGTACCGTGGTGTTATTCGACGTCGGAGCGAAAATTTCTCATGCTTCTTCCTAGTTCGGGGAAAAGAGAATCGCCGTAGGGGATTGTGAAAGGACGATCGTCGTCCATTTTTTCAAAAAGATTTCGCCGGAGATCAAAAAAGATGTTTCATCGCGTAACTTTGGGGTCCACTTGGATTTATCTAACCACCCTCTGTTAATTTTTATTGAGATTGAAGGAGTATTGAGTGTGTAAATTGGATTTAGAGGTTGAAAATAGAGCGAGACATTTATTAAATACTTTAAAAGATGTTCTGAACTATTCATAATCAATTTAGTTTATTGACTTTTCAAACGTGTGTATTCACTGTATATACAGGGTGTCCCAGACCACCCGTATATAATCTGGAAAATTGAATCTTTTCTTGTAAATGAAAATTTTCCAGACTTTAGAAGCGGTGTACATGTGATTTGGGACACCTGTATGATTGATACGACAATATGTGTACTTATTTTAATAATTTTCATTTCACCTGGAATTATAATTAGTCGTTCGTTTATTTTCTTATAACATTTCATATATTTACGTCTACTTTGTAATTATAATTATCATCAAATCATAATTATTGCCATAATTGTTAATAGTTACGGTAAACCACATCGGACATTGCAGATGTTCCAATTTCTACTCATTGGCCATTTTTGTATAATTTTAAGATAACATAAAATACGTCAGTGGACAGAGATTGTAACGTCAGCAGAAATTGGAATATTCACTTTATTCGCAATGAAATCGAACGTAAAGGTCAACTATCGGTGGAAATTCGTTTAACGTATCAATACTGCTCTTTGACAGATGGTGTAACACGTTCCGTTACGGAGTTCATATGTATTTTACGTGTTAACTAGTTGATTAGCTCAGTCGATGTCAACAAAATTACTCGAGTTTATTAGAATTTCTGGACGAGTTACTGAACTGACTAATGGCAATGCCCGCGATGACCAATTATAACGATAAAATCGAGATTGAATCCGCCCGGTTGATCCATATTGATTATCTACGGGATTTCACTGAATAGAAATCGATTTTGCGCAACATCGAACTGAATTGAAACGCGGATCCGCGATGCACGCCTGATTGTGCTTTAATAAATAAGGGCGGTTTTATCCCCGTTTCCAACTGTGAAGAATCGTTTGCATTTCGCAAACAGCTTCACGTATCTTTGTGTCACCGAGGAAAATGGGGGAAGCTCGTACACGCGACTGCATGTTGCGCATTGTCGATGTTTTTCTTTTTTTCTTGTATTGGAACTTTGAAGCGCTCACAAAGGACGCGAAAATGTTTTCATGGGAGAAATACCGTAATGCGTAATGGGCACGATAGAACTGAAATGAAGTGCTTTGTTGTACGAGTTTTGTTTTCGAAGAAATGGTAACTGCTGGATACTTTTATTTTACTGTTTCCTATCATGTTTGTTCGAAACTCACAAGTACTATCTCTTATAAGTAATGACATCTAAAAGCATTCCAATTTTTATGTACTTTGCATTAAAATTATTATTATATAAAGTTGTAGTCTCAAAATTAGTATTTACAATATTAAATATTATAATGCTGTTCCTGACATAGACTAATGACAATATTTTTACATTACGGTGTTTATGATGGTATTAGATCGTATATAATCACTTGGAGTAGTAAAAATATAGAAAAGTAATATAATATATCACACTGAGAAAAAGGGTTGAAGGGTAAAACTTATATTGAAACCAGCTTTTCGGAAGAAACATACTATTAGAAGTAATCGATTAACGAGTCTGTTTTTTCACGACGGTGCGTCCCGTCTTAAGATGAATGGTATCACAGAGTCGACTTGTCTATACCAACGAAAAAATATCCAATTTCGTTGGAGAACCTCATCGATCTTCCTGTGCTTCGATGTCTTCGCGGCCTAATAAATTACATTTGTACAAGGTTCGGTCGAATGACATGTAAAAGCAGGCCATGCGACTCTTTATGGAAAAACAAGAAAATCATGTAGAATAAAATTTGCTAATATTCAGAAGAAACATGTTTGAATATCTGCTGCGTCTTCATGATTTTGTGGCAATGTTACCTTTATTGCACTTGGAAATAATGTCTGTATGGCACTTGAATATTTGAAAGAAAGATACGAAAGCAATATTTAATAGTGAAAGATTTTATTCTTTCGCTTACAAAATTTGAGGAACTAATATAATTCATCATGATACTTGGACGAAAACTGAATCGAACACCCTGCAGAATTCGATGTTTTTTGAAGAAGTGCAAATGTGTACGCGTATGCTTATTTACTTTATCATCGTGACACGTTCGTTTCAAAGCGAATGAGAATTCATTTGTAACAGTTGGAGGATGAAATATAGCAACAATCAAACTATAAGTAGAATCAGGGATCGATACGGCTGTCACCTTTATGCATTATTCAGTCAACTCGACTGTCGATAATTGGCGTGGCGTATTTTACTTCGACGTTCCAATTCCAATCGTTAGAATGTGTCCAATTCAATAATTAAAAGCACCGACTCCGGAAAAAATGTCCTCCTGCTATCTCTCTCTGTGCTACTGTTACGTGGGACGGATTTAAAACCTGATAATCCGGTCACGCGCGGAGATCTACGTGGAGGTACTTGTAATTTCCGAATTCAAGTGAGACCCGAGAAAGAAGTTAAGAGGCAAAGCTGGGATTGTTCAACACATGTCGTTATTAGTTTGGAAAGACGTTATTTATTCTCTGTTGTATAGCAAAATGGAATACTGTCTGAAAATGAGTATAGTTAAATTTAAGTTAGACGGACATTTTTAACGATTAAATGAAATATAAGTTTTATAAGGAGTTTGTTCCCTCGTTGCATTTGCATAATATCATAGTCCATTCAATTTTCAAGAGGAATGTTTATAGAACCTGATAACATCTTCATATGAAACACGAGACATTTAATGTCGACATGAAACATCATTTCACTGCAAAATAAAAATCGAGCGTAAATAGACGATATAAGAAAGTATGAGGCTCGAAAATAAAGAAGGAGGTAGTCAAACGGAGATAAGATTCATCAGTTTTCATAGAACAAATGAACTAAAATGGTATGAAACATTATATTGAAGAAAGAAATATCGTTCCAACTATCAAGATAAAATTTATTGCTTCTCGAAAAACAAAGGTATCGATATTAAGTTTAGTTATGTTGCGCATTGTCGATGTTTTTCTTTTTTTCTTGTATTGGAACTTTGAAGCGCTCACAAAGGACGCGAAAATGTTTTCATGGGAGAAATACCGTAATGCGTAATGGGCACGATAGAACTGAAATGAAGTGCTTTGTTGTACGAGTTTTGTTTTCGAAGAAATGGTAACTGCTGGATACTTTTATTTTACTGTTTCCTATCATGTTTGTTCGAAACTCACAAGTACTATCTCTTATAAGTAATGACATCTAAAAGCATTCCAATTTTTATGTACTTTGCATTAAAATTATTATTATATAAAGTTGTAGTCTCAAAATTAGTATTTACAATATTAAATATTATAATGCTGTTCCTGACATAGACTAATGACAATATTTTTACATTACGGTGTTTATGATGGTATTAGATCGTATATAATCACTTGGAGTAGTAAAAATATAGAAAAGTAATATAATATATCACACTGAGAAAAAGGGTTGAAGGGTAAAACTTATATTGAAACCAGCTTTTCGGAAGAAACATACTATTAGAAGTAATCGATTAACGAGTCTGTTTTTTCACGACGGTGCGTCCCGTCTTAAGATGAATGGTATCACAGAGTCGACTTGTCTATACCAACGAAAAAATATCCAATTTCGTTGGAGAACCTCATCGATCTTCCTGTGCTTCGATGTCTTCGCGGCCTAATAAATTACATTTGTACAAGGTTCGGTCGAATGACATGTAAAAGCAGGCCATGCGACTCTTTATGGAAAAACAAGAAAATCATGTAGAATAAAATTTGCTAATATTCAGAAGAAACATGTTTGAATATCTGCTGCGTCTTCATGATTTTGTGGCAATGTTACCTTTATTGCACTTGGAAATAATGTCTGTATGGCACTTGAATATTTGAAAGAAAGATACGAAAGCAATATTTAATAGTGAAAGATTTTATTCTTTCGCTTACAAAATTTGAGGAACTAATATAATTCATCATGATACTTGGACGAAAACTGAATCGAACACCCTGCAGAATTCGATGTTTTTTGAAGAAGTGCAAATGTGTACGCGTATGCTTATTTACTTTATCATCGTGACACGTTCGTTTCAAAGCGAATGAGAATTCATTTGTAACAGTTGGAGGATGAAATATAGCAACAATCAAACTATAAGTAGAATCAGGGATCGATACGGCTGTCACCTTTATGCATTATTCAGTCAACTCGACTGTCGATAATTGGCGTGGCGTATTTTACTTCGACGTTCCAATTCCAATCGTTAGAATGTGTCCAATTCAATAATTAAAAGCACCGACTCCGGAAAAAATGTCCTCCTGCTATCTCTCTCTGTGCTACTGTTACGTGGGACGGATTTAAAACCTGATAATCCGGTCACGCGCGGAGATCTACGTGGAGGTACTTGTAATTTCCGAATTCAAGTGAGACCCGAGAAAGAAGTTAAGAGGCAAAGCTGGGATTGTTCAACACATGTCGTTATTAGTTTGGAAAGACGTTATTTATTCTCTGTTGTATAGCAAAATGGAATACTGTCTGAAAATGAGTATAGTTAAATTTAAGTTAGACGGACATTTTTAACGATTAAATGAAATATAAGTTTTATAAGGAGTTTGTTCCCTCGTTGCATTTGCATAATATCATAGTCCATTCAATTTTCAAGAGGAATGTTTATAGAACCTGATAACATCTTCATATGAAACACGAGACATTTAATGTCGACATGAAACATCATTTCACTGCAAAATAAAAATCGAGCGTAAATAGACGATATAAGAAAGTATGAGGCTCGAAAATAAAGAAGGAGGTAGTCAAACGGAGATAAGATTCATCAGTTTTCATAGAACAAATGAACTAAAATGGTATGAAACATTATATTGAAGAAAGAAATATCGTTCCAACTATCAAGATAAAATTTATTGCTTCTCGAAAAACAAAGGTATCGATATTAAGTTTAGTACATGCTATAATCATTTTCTTTAATAATGCTATAAATTTAAAATTACGTCTCTTGGAACATTGTTCATATTTGTATATACTATTGAAAAATACATATATTGACTGGCGAGATAATTTGAGCCGTTCAGTGCACACATCGATTAACTTCACTTTTTGAAAAATTTTAAATTTATATGTCAAAGCACAAGTTATGACTATACCAAGTGCTTTGACACATAAATTTAAGATTTTTCAAAAAGTGGAGTTAATCGATGTGTGCACTGAACGGTTCATTTTATGCTGCATGTTCTTTCACTAACACTTTCTCTTGTTACAATGAAAATATTTGTAAAGGCCGGTATACGTACCCAAATCGAATTTAATCGAGTTCAAACTGAACGTGAGTCCGCTGTTTGTTTACCACAATAAAATTAATGAAACTAATTGAGCATCGACAATTTGCTTAAAGAGATTATGTGAACGTAATTAGATAAATTAATTTACGTGCCAATCCCAGTATACAAATCAACAGCTTTTTGTAAACTTCCTTTCCTGAAAACTATAGTTATATGAATGTGAAGTGTATCTTTCTTAGTTACTTTCTATTTTTTAATTTTCAAAAGAAAAACGGATATCATTGCCAATGGTTTTGATTCATACAGCAAGCAGTATTAATATTCGAACACATTTTGACACAGAATAACTTTGTTAATGCTGCCCATTGTGTGTATTCTCATTGAGTTTAAGATTCATAAAGGAACGACTATACATAATTGTAAGGAGTAAATCGACTTGCGTAAGTTAAATCACCTGCTAGTGACGTGTCTCAGTACCAAGTTATGGAAACTTCAGTTTACCCTGAATTATAGTCTTAGGCTGTAATTCTCAAATTATTGTCAAACAAATATCTTGGAATTGTAGAAGTTCGACTACTGTTCTCGAACGGTTGCACAACTATGAAGCGCAATAATGGTAAAGCGTGTATTCGTTTTAAACTTGCATAACCGTCTAGTTGTACGATAACAACGAACTTGTGGTTCATAAATTTTCTAAATCTCCATCGTAAAATTGTGTTACAATGTTAATCTAATATCAGATTCCACATTCGTATAGAAATGAAATAAGGTAATACGAAAATTAGTTTTATGAAGGTCAAATGTTCAGTCTTCCATATAGTATGTACAGAAGATTTCTTTGGAGAATAGAATGCTTAAAATATAAATACATATGTGCATGTACACACTGCGAGAAACGCCCATAAAGCCAACTTCATTTTCGCGTGTATTTTAATAATACTTCCAATGAAATATGAAGATTTTAAAGCGACCAGCCTGTTCCTCGTATCTCAATCTTATCGAAAATCTGTAGAAAACAGTTTTAAGAAGAATTGATGTATTGAGCATAAATTATGTACGAATTTGGCATTCTGTAAACACTACAAATGTCTGGTTTATTGGTCAATTTAACTATGATTATAGAATATTAGTATTTAGAGTCGAACTTCATGACATTTAACAAAGTTTATCTCCCATTAGCTTACTTACATTCATACCCGTTAACTGCAGATTCATACATTCCAATCATCACAGCTGCGTATGTACATCTCAACTAATTATTTTATGACGTCAATAATAAGTAATAAATTGGTTGCCGTTATTTTGCATAGAACAATGTTTGTTTGCGTGAATGAATGAATCAGAATCAATACCGACAATCCAAATGGAAATATTGGCATACCTGATTTTCATCATCTATAGTGTAATACACATTATTTTTACGAAATAGTCTCAGCGTAGTAATTCTAAAACGGATTATCATATTCCACTTTTTTCATGATTATTTAGTTGAAAATTTGAGATGTAGCAAAGGAATCAAAACTTCTCATTCAAGAGCAAGAAGTTAATTATCCTGTGTAAATATCAACGCCACGGTACTTCGTTTAAAATTCATGAAATGAAACCCCCTGCGCGACCGGGTTTGTTTCCAGAAATAACATTTTATGCAGTAACTTGACGGTACCTTGTTCGTTATGCCAATTTAATCTTGGCCAGCTGATGATGCAGTGCAAACTTCAAGTTGACGAGTATAATACATAACTATCGTCTTTGTTAGACAAACGTCCCCCAGAGATTTTGACTTTTATACAGATCAGTTGTGACAGGGTTAAATGAAATTTATGACATAAGAAAACTATTTTTATCAGTCTGATCAGCTGTTATATATTATATTGTGTTATTTAGGCTACATACATTTTAATTACAAGAGAGAGTCGTAATCAGGGACCACAAAAATTTAAATATGTGGTGTTCGTATTTCATAAACGTGTCTGTAAAAATTCATGACTCAGAGAATTAATACAAAAGCAAAGAATTCCTTTTACAGCTTATGATTGTATATTGTATATGTATAAAGTTGAAGCATGTCAGAAACTTAAATTCAGCGTCCATTTTTAGATGCTCTCTCAGTATAAAAACTAGTGACGCAATTCTTCCCTCCAAACGACCCTTTAGCTGCCCTCGGTATTGCTATCATCGGCCCGATTTAATCGCTCTTCGAATAAAATAAATTCTTAATGCCTATGCCTTGACACGAGCAATCGGATGGAAAATCGAGACGCATCGATTCAACTTGTAGACGATTACGTCAACGGGAATTAAAAATGGAAACGACGTCACGGATCGGATAGAGAGGGTCATTGTTAAAGGATGAGCGATATTAAAGGAGACTGGTGTCATCGCGTCAGTTTTATTATTCCGCTCGTTGCACATCTACCGAGTCCGTCACTTCTCCCTGTCGTGACTGTAATAGCGGTGTGATTTTTCATCGGATTTCCTTCAACGAAAGAACCCCGTAACAAAACGTCACCTTCTGTTTTCTTGCTTCGCCGCGCCGGTCATTAGCAACTACATTACGAGAAGAAAGTTGGATTCATGCGTAAAATTATTCTGCTCCCAGCAATTTAAATGAAACATTTCCGCTCCTTAAGTGACTTCAGTACCTGTTGTTGATTTTTCTCTATTTAGTTTATGATGATTTTAATTTTTTTTAAGAATTAAAAGTAAACGTATCACCATAATAAAGAAAATATTTTGTTAACATTCGTAATTGAGTTGATATTAATTATACATGTTTATATGATTCTGTATCTAAAAATATATGACACGAGGTTAAACAATATATAATAGTTCAGGAAGAAACTTCCTACACAAATTATTCAATGGCTTGTGCTGTTTACAGTAGCTAGCAAAATATGGTTATATTCTTGGAGTGCAATCGAAAGAACTTCTTGACTGACAGATATCGCGATCAGAATAAATCTCTTTGATTGACGCGTGTATATCAAACTGCATGGGATAGTATGTAATACGAACTTCGTGGGAAGAGATACAGGCTATCCGTAGTGTATAAGTATAGCGTTTTATAACAAAGTTTGATTGTTCAAAAGTGATTAAGAAATACATACATGTATATAGGTGAAATAAATCCTTTTGGGATCTTTGTAACAATTTCTTTCGTTAATTTCGAGACTCGAACTGAGGTCAATGAAGCTCTTCATCAAATATCATATAAATTCATCTTGAATCTCATTAAATATCTAGTGGTGGTACATCCTCATTAAAATAAGAATAATCTATTTTTGTACAAATGGAACCATCCTCGAATCCTTTCATCGGCACAGAAATTTAGTTTTAAATTCAATGTTAATAAATTCGTTCAGTAAATTTTATTAGGAACGTATAAAAATTCCAACGGTAGTAACTCTACGATTCTTCCTCGTGCGCATAGATTAAAGTAAGAAAAACAGGCTGTTTTACTTTACAGAAGA